AAAACCAGCCCCTAGGAAACGATGTATGAATGCTTGTGTTCATCTCATTATTAATGAGAGCCTGAAGGTAAGAGTTAAGTACTGATGTCTGAATCATAACAGTTACCATACAGCATGCCATATTATTTCACAGGTAACTGCAGGAAAAATCTTCTTGATGCATGCTCAATCAATCAATGTGCTTCTCATTTTTTTTGTTTTGTTTTTTTATAAAATGTTATAAAATAAATCAGTTATAATCAAGTGGAGTGAGTGGAAAGACAACACATTTACACGTGAAGCAATATGTTTCACAACTAAATGGGATCAGCTGCTCATCAATGGTGACATTGGACCCAGGGTTGTAAAACAGGGGAGGTGGTGCACACACTTATCCCACACTGTCCTGATGGCATCTAGCTTGTCTCTCTGCAGTCGAGCTGGTCTGTCGTCTCGGTTATCAAAACGGATAATCCTGGAAATTTTGTGGAAGTTTTCCAGAGACATTGATGCACGGAAAGGTTCTTGCCGGTTTCTGCATCCCACAGGATTCTGTGGATTCCCCTTTGGACCTGAAAACTCCTGCAAGGATAAAAACCCCAAAGTAGGCCTTTGGGGTTCTTAGTAAATTTGGTCCATCTCCTTCCACCTCTCTCCAAAAACACACCTTCCTTCTAGATTACTGCAATCCAGAAAAATTTCTGGATGGAATCTGGGATGAAAAGCTCAAATGAAGACTTGATGTCCTGCACATGAGTAACTGTCAGCCGTGTTGGCCCTGGCTTATCACAGTAACAGCTCTGCAGGGTGGCTCATTTCTTGGGCAAGAAGACCATTCAATTTCACCAGTTATTGACATCCATATTTCTTCACTTGCTGTCTGGTGGGCTTGTTCTGGTCCTGGAGCTGGCTGCAGATGGGGTACTCGTCTTCGTTTTGTTACTAAATGGTACTCAACCTCATCCTCTTCTTCAAAGTCACTGTCAGACTCTGAATTTTCAGAAATGTGAAATATTCTGAAACCTCTTTGTCAACATCATCATCCGAAGTCCCTCTCTCTTCCAAAATCAATTGGATGGCCCTCGCAGCAGATAATCTTTTGCCATCTTGATCAGTTGTGATAAAGAACCACACTGGCAGAGTCTTATTTATAGGATTATGCCCCTAATTTGCAGGTGGGACAGGGTATGAGAAAATAAAATTTGGATCCCTCAAGAAAGAGGGTAAAATGTGCGGGAATGTAAGAGCAGACGGTGTTGGTAGTTGAATTTTCAACAATGTTGCAACTTTGTGCGGGAGGGGAAGAAAACACTATCAGCAGCACCAGAAAGGAGGAAGACAGAGTGTGGGAACACAGGACCTACACTTTCAACACTTTTACTAGACCTGGGTCCAGTGGACCCGAACACCTTGTATGTAATGTAAATGCGTGGGGGGAGGTACAGTATGAGGTCATTGAAAATTAGTTCAGATTTATGTTCTTCACAGAAAATAAGTCAAAGCCAATGAATTTCAGGTTGAAAAAATAATTAATTGTTTAATTTTTCTTTTGAAAAAAGTGAAAACGGGTCTCACAGACCCGAACACCATACAAGGGTTAATCATAATTATGCAAATTCTCATGACCATTGATCAACAACCACTGACCAAAACCCACTGATCAAAGACCACTGATGGCCATGAGTACCATTCACAGAGAGTTGGGGAATGGCTGCAGCTGAGAAAAAGACAGAGTGGATGTGCTATTAGATCGATGCTACTGTGACGAGATTGATATTTGAACACTGAATCGTATAAATGTCTATTTTTTTCTTTATGGAAATGTAAAAGAAAAGTATACTTCAAACACACTCCATGAAAAATGGCTTAACCTTTTAATGTTGATTTTTAGCTCTATGTTATTTATAGCCTAGGCTATGAGACATTAAGCAGCAGAAGCAGAGTCAAAGTTTTAGAGACATGCACATTTACATTTCATGTGTGTTTTTATTGTGTTGACTCATTATTGTGGGAAGTAAAAGTCATTCAAATGTGTTCAGAATTCATCTCATATATCATTACACACTGCTCTCCTCCACAGCTGCCTTTAATGTGAGTGAAGTTGGCCCCCCCCACCAATGTTCCCTCTAATGTTTCACGTGTCTGAGTGAACGCACAAACTCCCCGAGTGTCCCTTGGACCACTGTGAGCGACAGCAGACGTGTGCACTGTGGTCACACCAGCATTGAATCCATCCAAGTTAAATGTTTATTAAAATAATCATATTACAGCATTTACATTTATATAGACTACTTTTAATTAACTGCTTTAATTAACTGCACTTTCATTGTAAGTGCTTTAACTGCCACTTGCAATGAAAATGTAAAAAAATCTAGTCATTGACCTGTGTAGTATGTTAACACTATTGGAAGTAAAAATAACTTGAACTCCAACTCCAACTTCTTCCAACTGAAGGAGTCACTTGATGAGTGACGAAATGTTTCTCCCACTGAAAATGTCCAGATGAACAGAATCAACCTTTTGGGATTTACTTACCTGGATGATTAAGCACGCATCAAGACGTTATTTTATTAATATTTTTAAAATGATAGCGGCACACACGAAAATTTTTGCAGCACAAACCTGCACAAACGTTTAACATCAATTTTGTTTGATTTGGGTAAAGGTTGACCTTTTGACCTTTACATTGTCATTAATATCTTTAAAACAGAAGCAGCACAAATGACAATTTTAGCAGCACAAACCAGCACAAACATTGCACAACTGATTGACACCAATCTTGTTTGATTCCATTAATGTGGGGGGGGGCTGGTTGACCTTTGATGACCTCTAGAAATTTTTATTAATATCTTTAAAATGATAGTAGCACAAAAGAACATTTTTGCAGCACAGACCAGCACAAACGTTTGATACCACTTTTGTTGGATTTGAAGAAGGTGGTGGTGGGGGGGCAACTTCACTCACATCTGCCTTTATAGGTTAAACATATCTACACTGGCATTGGTATCAGCAATACTGGCCCTGTATTTACTTGGTATTGGACAGACACTAGAATTTGTTATATCATCACTCATCTCTAACATACAGTGAATTTTATAAACCGCCATCTTTATTCATTAAAATACGCAAAATACTTTTAACTGTGAAGATTTGGAGAAACTGTTTTTTGGCATCACTTCATAGAGTTTTAACTGTTTGCTGCCAGCTGTCTGGTCTCCTTAAAATATGTGTGCTGCATATTAAACTCGGCGTAGCAGCCTCAGAGTCATCACCTTTGCAGGCCATGTATTTGCAGTAAGCACAATGAGCATGTGCAAAGACAGTAGGACACGGAGTCATGAAAATAAATTATTAATAGAAGATATTTTAGTTGGCCATCATCTGTCTGTCTGTCAGTCATTCTAATAAATGGCTTAGAGCTTCCTCATCTTCACATTTCTGTTTTCCTCATATAGGTAGGTGGTTTCAGTGGAACTGCTCGTCTGCAGACTGTCGAGGCATACAATCCTGACACCAACACCTGGCTGGATATGCCCCCCGTGCTGAGCCCCCGCAGCAACTTTGGCATCTCTGTGATGCATGACTGCCTGTTTGTTGCAGGGGGCTACAACGGCTTCACCACCACCCCTAATGTTGAATACTACAATGTCAAGACTGGGGCCTGGTCTGATGCCTGAGACATGGAGATCTCCCGCGGTGCACTGAGTTGCTGTGTGGTGTACGGGCTGAACAACATGGCTGAGTATGCTGCTCCTCGCTACTCCCTGGAACTCCCCAGTGAGGAATCACTTCATCATACTATGAATTTTATTATTGTGCAAAATAAACTGCTAATGGTATTTGATTGAGTAGAAGTGCTTGATGGAGTTACAAAAGCTTGGTCGTTTTGTTAAGTTTCACGTATGATGGAGGGCAGTGTAAAGAAATTGCTCGACTCTGGGAACCCAACACGTCTGCTGAGTCTCCATGCTTGGCGTTCGAGTGAGAGTACCTCACATGCGCCTGCTCGTGCAAGAGATTAAAGAAGTGTTTGACGGGCGGAGGGACGATGGAACTCGAGCACAGCACGCTGCCAAACAAATTTTCCGTAAACTGCTGCAAAGTGCCATGCAACACACAAAAACACACAATTTTTAAAAGGTATCTATTTAATGAGGAAAACTTTCAAAGTAAAATACGTTTGTCCTGGTCAGGAAAGACATCAGTGTAATCAACAGAACTGCATCAGCTAATCACACAAATACAAACAGAATAAAACCCACAAAATAAGAAATTAGAAAATTTCTAATTAGTAAGAAATTAGTAACGATATCTGTAAACAAATCTGAAGTCTAATATGAGAACTTCCATCAGTTTCTGTTGCTGAAACTCGCAGACATGACGGGAACATCTGCAGTGAAGCTGCACAGCTGTACCCTCACAGACAGAAGCCTGGTCAACTTCATTTCATCTGCCAGTCTCACCAGGTGGAAAGCGTTATCCATGCAGAGGGCATTTAGATGTTGCTGCTTTTTTTTTTTTTTTGCTGTTCGTTTATGAGGCTGGGGAAACCTGCAGTCAGCTGAGGCTGAAGAAGTCACTTGGATCAGTGACGAAACCACTGAAAACAAATGAACAGACTCAACCTTTTGGGATGCAGCGAGAACAGTTTCAGTCCATGGAGCTCAATTAAACCATGTTCGGACCGGATCCCGGCAGCAGCAGTGGGAGGTGCAGCATCGGTGTGCTTGCTTATAATTAACCTCATCTTTACAAACAGCCATTAAACCATCAGGAAATGACAAGAAATAGTTGGCATTAAAACACTCCTCTGGATGAAGAGAAAGGGGAAACGTCACAGTGCTGATATGGGCACGTGCAGCAGGTGGAACTCACGTTATAATGAGCCTGCCATGGTCCTGGGTCCGGTGACCCATGTTTTTGATTATTTAATGTTCTGTGATTTTGTACTTTTTCATGGTTTTATCTTTCTATTTCTAGTTCCCTTAGTTATTCTTTAGTATTTTTGTAGTTTCCAGCTCTTAGGTTTTTGTCACTGAACCTGACAGTGCCAAATTGCTGACTGTCTTCCAGTGTCCTTCCTTCTGAGATGTGAGGTCGAGGTCGAGTAGGATGTGACCAATGCAGCCGGGACGCCACTCTGCAGGAGCAAGGAGAAAGAAATTAACATGTAATTTATCCTAACAGTAATGGTGTACTAACCTGATCCATGTGTTTTATTTATTGTAGGTACAGTGGGATATTCTCCTACTATCACTACTCTCAAATCCAGTGTCCAATAAGTGACACAGTATTGGATATTTTTGACATGGGATGCATCGACACACCAGACAGGTACTTAGTACCTTCCATTCATCCTTCCAAGCCCCAAGATGGTGGTAAAATGTCTCCTAACAGTCTGCTATGGGTTTATGAGTGCACTAAAGAAATTACATGCAGTTTATTTGTGATATTACACCAATTCATTGTGATGAACTGGCACGTTTAACAAAAATGTTCAGAGATATCTTGAAGTTGTAAAACAGAAATTATTCCTCCAATTGAAGGATGGGCGGATGTTTCCTTCGTGGCCCACCATATCCCAGAATTCATAGTGCGGCCCAGCCAATTCCAGGTTCGACGTTTTCAGAGAGGTCTGAGAGCCTATGAAATGGCAGCATGCTGCCTGTTTGTCATGGCCGCATTACCCCGGTGCCATTTAGGTTTTTTGGTGTTTCTCTCCCTGTCTCTCATTTTTGCTAAGGGAAAGGGAGTGTGTGCGTTCAGCAGTCTTCAGGGCTTTCCAGGGGGTATCTCGGAGAGTTACCCGCCATTAAAACAGCCACACCTGTAAGATGATGGCACTCAGCTGTTGCTGATCAGCCGCATCTGAGGGGCTACTTAACAGAGGAGCTGAGCCTCAATGGACACTGGATTGTTGAGAGAAATCAGTTAGTTCCTGGCGTTGAGAAGTGGTGTGTACTTACCAGTTGCTTGTTGTATTCCCAGAGTTTTGAGGATACAAGTGGAGGGAACTGATCACTTTGTACACAGACAGGACGAGAGGGAAGGAAGATTATTATCATCATGTGCATGAGAGAGAGCATCCAGTATAGGCACTGCTGTGTGATCGCTAAAGGAAAAGACACAGCTCTTCCTTAAATACAGACAGAGACAAAGAACATTCCACTACTCTCACGTTTCCCCATCCCGGAGGGGGAACTATACCTCCAGGCCTATTCCTCCAGAGACAAAGTTACAACTTATCCTCCATTTAATTGTCACTCGCGATATTCACATTCCCAATTTTCCTTCGAGAGGCCTCTTCCTTCTCTAGGGCTCAGAGAGGTCTCGCGGTCCGCCTAACAAAGAGGCATCTGTATGTCTCAGTCTAACTTACTCATAACGCCCCACTATGTGTAAAATAACGTTTGACACACGTGTGATGCCATTACATATGTATATAACTAAGTAACACAGAGGTGAGATTGTTAAAACATGTAAACAATACTTAAAATTAGAAGAAATTTCCATCCCAGAACTGGTGTAACTAAACAGAGATCCTAGTTTCAAATCCCAGCAGGGATTTTTTTTTGTTTTGCAATCTTTATGTGTTCAGCACGCTGAGGAGTGACAGAAAGGATGAGGAATCATCCTAAAAATGTGTTTTCATATCTGTGTAGGTGGAAACTATTGGAGGACAACTGGGTTATGGAACTACTGTGCTCCTTTGTGTCAAATCTATCCAGTAAAACATCCATGTAGAAGTTGATTAGATTTACTGGAGACCTGTTCAGTCCTTTACCATCAACTATGTTTTGGATAAAATCAAAAATTAGCATTGGTTAAATCTTTAAATGATCTCTTTTATTTTCAAACTAACTCAGCTTTTCACTTTGAGTTTCCAGTTGAGGTGCATGTTTTTGGATAGCTGAAAAAGTACCCACAGAAAACTGAGAAATATAAGGAGAACATGCAAACTGCTCATTCCTCCTGTCAGGTCTGAGCCACTATGCTGCCCATTTTACAACCCTGCAAACAAACGAGCTGAAAGTTGAACTCTACAGCTTGTTGTGGTCCCCTCTGGCTTTAGGTGCTGACATGCCTTCCAGCTGTTCTCCAGCATTTTCATTTACATCCATAAAATATCTCCACACATTGCTCCTCTTTCTCTCTGTCTTAGTGATGTGTCGGTCGCGAACGAAATGGCTCTTAGAGCTGGATCTTTGACGTGAACGACGCGAGCCGGCTCCTTTTTGGGAGCTGTGGTTTGGGTTTTTTTTCTTTCTCTCACCCTCTCTCTCACGAGCCTTGTGCTTTGCCCTGGGCAGAGGGGGAGGGGCGGTAGTTACAGCAGTAGCACAGGAACAGAGCAGGAGGGAGAGAGAGAGAAAGAGAGCCAGGGACAACAACGCCACATTAGAAAGGTATAGTAATCATCCACAACTATATTCAGTTGCAGATGATAAAGGATTCAGAAAGTTTATTCATGCAGGTCCATATGACAGAGAATATGCATCTTCTTTTTGTTTTCATATTTTAATTTATATTTAATTGTGTTGTGGTTTGCAGTGTTTTGTGTTGTTTCACTTTAAATTTGTAAAAGGAAAAAGCTGAAAATTTAAATAGTTAAAAGTTGAAATGTAAATAGTTGTTTTTTGTATTATATGATTTATTTATTACATTTTATGTGGAGTGAATAAATAAAAGTATATTTACGGTGGCGCCTACAGACAAAGCACATACAAACTTCAAAACACGTCCGAACTCCACAACACGTAAAAGCTCCAAAACACGTACAAAAGACAACAGAAGTGCTCCAGGATGCTGGGCGCAGTGTTGAGCTTTTGTTACTTAGTGGCTACACAAGCCAGGAAGTACCAACGACCGGATTTGGTCTGTGGTAGTAACAGGTAAATGAACTGTTTTTTAAATTGAATATATATGAGTGCTTGTGTATAAATACACAAACAATACACACATGCTTTCAATCGTGTAGTTTAAGTGATCTAGGCAGCTCTGTTTTGGAAGTTCAGTCCATGCTAGAAATGTGTTTTGGAGTTTGTACGTGTTTTGTTTCTAGGGCCACCGTATATATTTATATATAAACATATATAAATAAAACCACTTGTTTTTACATTAGTAATTACTTTTCTGCATAATTTTATATTATTGTTAATAATAAATTAATTAAAGCAACAAAACAACCTGAAGTTCAGGTTCGGAGCCGAAAGAGTCGGTTCTTTTTAGTGAGTCGAGCCGAAAGAGCTGGTTCTCTAAAAAGAGCCAGAAATCCCAGCACTACTCTCTCTGCAGCAAAAATGCATTTTCTGTGTGCAGCCGAGTCACGTGACCTCACAGTAACGAATCCCAGCAGGGCAGGAAGAAAGGGGCGGAGCAAAGTGCGTCTGCCGCATAAGAAGAGGTGTTCGCACAGACAGAGCTGCTTTTTCATCCACAGCAAGTAAAGAAGTGAATCTACAGGAGAGAAACAAACCAAAGCATCGATCATAAACCACTACCAACGTCTGGATCGATATCTGCATCGATCTGCCCACCCTTGTCTCCTGGATCGGAGCTGAGATCAGCGTGAACCACGTGGGTCTCTGCTCCCTGATCTGTTTCCTGTGTTTGGAAAGAGTTCCAGCTTCATCACGGAGTTTCTCTCGGTCTGTGGGCTCATCTAAAGGTAAGCACCGAGCTAACTTTACTGTGAGTTCAGTTCATGTTGAGTTTAGCTCCTGAATGAGGTCTTCTGCTGCTCTCCTCGGTGTCTGTTCACAGTTTATTGTGAACACGTTGAGAGAAGAGTGAGAGAGTGTTTGGAGAAAAACACCAACTAACCATTAGCTCAGCATGCTGGGAGAAGTTGGAGCAGAAAAGTCTTTTCACTGATAAAAGCTCATTGATCAATGACCATGAGTACCTTTCACGAACAGTTTGGGGAATGGCTGCAATCACAGCATGAGAATGAGAATTTGCATAGTAATGATGAAGGAACTGACCTCCCAGCCCATTGTTCCTTCAGTGGTGCTAGTTTCAGTCATTATGTAAATGTAGTGTTTATAAGGTTGGAGTCAGCTGAGACTGAAGACGTCACCTGGATGAGTGATGAAAATTTCTCCTACTGAAAACTTCCAGATGAACAGAATCAAACTTTGGGGAATGGTGGAGTTTGGAGAGAGGCATCCTTGGGTCTGGAGAGACTTGTGAAGTGGTGATCAGGTGTTTGTGGAAACCACAGGAGGAGCAATCAGAGTGAAATTTGTACTTTGTGTTGTCAGATATGAGACACTTTGACTCTTCAGTGCAGTGTGGAGCCTAACAAAGATCTGTTTTGTGTCCCAGCTGATCAGCAGGAGGAGAAGAGTCTGACGGAGCAGCAGAGGAACATTTTCAGCCATCTGGACTCAGCTGAGTCACTACAGAGGAAACAATGAGCTCAACACAGGAGGTGAGGAAAATATCACAGTTTCACCAAATAATCAGTCACGTCTAAAACTCTCATCCTTCCAACCTGTTATATGACTGTGTTGTATTTTATTGTATGCTATGTTTTTATTTTATATCTATTATGTTTACAAACATCAAGAAGTCCCAAGCAAAGGGAGACCACACCATAGCACATGTTTACATAAGATAAGATAAGATAAGATAAGATAACCTTTATTAGTCCCACACGTGGGAAATTTGTTTTGTCACAGCAGGAAGTGGACAGTGCAAAAGTTATGAAGCAAAAATTAGAATACAATAAGAATATATACAGTACACAACTGTACAGAATAGAATAAAATAAATACTATATACAGTAGAATAAAATATACAATAAGATAAAAATAGAATACAAATGCTATATACAACTGAGTAAAAATACAACGATGCCAGAAAAGATTATTGCACATTAGTGTTATTGCACATTAGTGGATGTGTGTGTTTGTTCAGTTAAAGTCTTTGTTGTGGAGTCTGACAACAGTGGGGAGGAAAGACCTGCGAAATCTCTCCGTCCCACACCGTGGGTGCCACAGTCTCCCACTGAAGGAGCTGCTCAGGGCTGTCAGAGTCTCCTGCATGGGGTGGGAGATGCTTAGCCACCGTTCTCCTGTCACTCACCACCTCCACTGGGTCTAGGGGCATCCTAGAACAGAGCTGACCCTTCAGATCAGCCTGTTCAGTCTCTTCCTGTCCCCAGCAGAGATGCTGCCGCCCCAGCAGACCACACCATAGAAGATAGCAGAGGCCACCACAGAGTTATAGAAGGTCTTCAGGAGTGGGCCCTCCACTCCAAACGACCTGAGTCTCCACAGCAGGTACAGCCTGCTCTGCCCTTTCCTGTAGAGGGCGTCTGAGTTATGAGTCCAGTCCAGTCTGTTGTTCAGATGAACACCAAGGTACCCGTAGCTGTCCACAGCCTCAATGTCCATACCTTGGATGTTCAGTGGTTGCCGTGGAGAATGCTTGTGCCTGCGGAAGTCTACCACCATAAGGATATTCATCAAAATTATTTATTCATCAAATTTCAAAACCTTTTAATCACACAAAAAATACATGTGCAAAGCACCACAACAGCAGCCCGATATCAGACAGAACTGTCACATGATATTAAACATAATGAAGCGCTTCATTATAATTTGTAGATTCAAGCTGCGCTTCATATTTTGACCAGCAGATGTCACCAAAGAGGACTGTGTTGAAAAGTAATGACAGTTTGTTCCACGACTGCATTTCACTGGGGGAGGGTTTTGATTATCGATTAAAATCGATTCTAGGTTGGATAACGTGATATTGATCCATTAAAATCCTGAAACGATTTTTAAATATGAATAAATTTTGCCTGAAACGCCAGAAACACCAAACAGCTAAAACAGTAAATGAGAGCAGTTACACGGATTCTGCACAAAGACGTAAACAAAGACGTCGGGGCTGAAAGGCGGCAGCTCACTGATTCTGATGTGTCGGCGGGTCCGCCTCTTATGTTTACATCTTTTTTGGCGCTAGATTCTGAAGGTGCAGGTTTTGTCACTCCAAACATACTTGACTGAACCAGCAGCAAAAGAAGACTGTTGTTTACAGCGCTGTTGGGCGCTGTTTCTTTTTTGATTTTGTTTCTTTGTTTCTTTTTTTTCCTTCCAGCAACAAAACCTCATTTCTGCTGTTCAATACAGAACAAATGTAAACTTTTTAAAATTATGCAAAACATTTAGCTGTGTCTCTAATAAACCCTCTGTAACTTTGCTCTGCTTCACTTCAGCAGCATCAGGTAATGTTCATATGTTGATTCATGGTTTTCTTTCGTGTTTGATCCACTGCAGAATATTTTTATACTCAGACCAGGAAAATCTCCTTCATTTTTTTTCTGTTTTATCCTCAGTTACTTTGACACAAAGGCATCTGCTGTGATGCTTACACCTCTGATGAAGTCTCACAAGTGTCAGCTTTCGTTTTAGAAATGTAAAATATGGATATGTACTGATAGGTAATGATCAGAATTCTAATATATCTGATTGTGTGACGCAAAATTTCCCCGAATCGAAATCAGTGACGATGCCCAGCCCTACATTTCACTCACTGCCTGTGTTTGTATATCTGTCACTGCAGGACCAATATGGAGCGAGAAGTCAGCGCTCTCAGGAGGCTGACAAACCTCACAGAACAAAGGGGAAGAAGAAATACACCTGTGACGAGTGTGGAAAATCTTTTCCCTGGGCGCGTTCCCTAAAAAGACACCAACTCATCCACAGTGGAGAGAGACCGTTCAGCTGTGACGACTGTGGAAAGTCTTTTACCCAGTCTGGAAGCTTAAAAACACACCAACTGATCCACACTGGAGAGAGACCGTTCAGCTGTGGAGACTGTGGAAAGTCTTTTACCCACTCTGGAAACTTAAAAGCACACCAACTGATCCACACTGGAGAGAGACCGTTCAGCTGTGGAGACTGTGGAAAGTCTTTTACCTACCCTGGAAACTTAAAAACACACCAACTGATCCACACTGGAGAGAGACCATTCAGCTGTGATGAGTGTGGAAAGTCTTTTACCCAGTCTGGAAGCTTAAAAACACACCAATTCCTCCACGGTGGAGTTAAAGCGTACAGCTGTGAAGAGTGTGGGAAGGATTTTCTTAAGAAGGATTCACTACAAATCCATGAGGTCATCCACACTGGAGAGAGACCGTTCAGCTGTGACTTGTGTGGAAAGTCTTTTTCCTGGAAGAAAGCCCTAAAAAGACACCATCTCATTCACAGTGGACTTAAAGCGTACAGCTGTGATCAGTGTGGCAGAGCTTTTACTCACAGTAGCAGCTTACGGAGTCATCTAGTTACCCACTCTGGAATTAAGGCATACAGCTGTGACATTTGTGGAAAAACTTTCAGCCATGTAGGGTACAGAAATATTCACCTACGCATTCACACCAGACATGATGTGTACAGCTGTGATCAGTGTGGTAAACTATGTTTAACAGGCACAGAGTTACAACACCACATGTTTACCCACACTGAGGAGAGACCTTATAAATGTGACCTGTGTGAGAAGACTTTTAAATCTCCACGTTACCTGAGACGACACCAACAGATCCACATTAGAAAGACTCTACAAGTGCAGTTGCTGTGAGGTATTTTTATTTTTATCTCGTGATTTTAGTCTGACTGTCTGAAACAACTGTTAGCAACATGTTAGCATTTCTGCTGCATGGAAAAGCAGCTCTGAGTGATTATTCAGATTTGAATTACAGTATTTTAGTGGTAGCAGTTGAGAATTACATTAGTGTTATTGCAGTATTGTTTCTATTATAGTTTTTGCAACACATTAAGCTGAGTATTATAAAGCAAACAGTAAATGGATGTTATTTTATGTCTTGTCTTTTCTTAGTCCTGGATGTTGACACAGATAATGTTTTGTTTTTTGTTTTGTTTTCAGGCGACGTTCGCGATAAAAAGTAACGTTGCGTAGAGACAAAAGTGGACAAAAGAGAGGCAAACTTGTGGCTCCACAACTATAATTATAACGTAACATAGACTATATGATATAAAGGATATTGTCACATCTTGAGACTCAGGTAGGCTGTGGTCTGTAAATGATGTCAGTTGGTACTAAGGGACCCACATTGTGCAAACCAAATATCTCCACGCTATTACACCAGCGGCAGGATGGATCCATGCTTTATGTTGTTTAAGACAAATTCTGCCCCTAAAATCTGAATGTTGCAGAGATTGAAAAAAGTTGCCTGGACTGATGGGTCTCAATCTTTTCTTGTCCACTTTTGTTGATCTCGAATGTAAAAGAGCCCACCCATCACGTTAATCACACTCTAGAACTTGTTTTAACATATGGCATAGAAACTGAACATTTATAATAATAATAATGGATTGGATTTATATAGCGCTTTTCAAGGCACCCAAAGCGCTTTACAATGCCACTATTCATTCACTCTCACATTCATACACTGGTGGAGGCAAGCTACGGTTGTAGCCACAGCTGCCCTGGGGCAGACTGACAGAAGCGAGGCTGCCATATCGCGCCATCGGCCCCTCTGGCCATTTAACAGTGTTTCCTGTAAACCCACTCTTGTCTTTTGCTAATACAGTGTCTTGCAAACATATTCGGTCCCCTTGAACTTTTCTCACATT